AAGAAAAGAAAGAAGTATCTAGAAACTGGTGTTACTCTTATCAGAGCTGGGGAAAGGCGCTGAGTAATTGGGGCCAATGCTACTGTCCTGGCCTGCCTCCTCAAAAAATGTATCAGCGAGGCGCGACTGGAGATCTCCTGGCTACTAGACAGCGTCCTGCATCCWAGGAGAGTGCTTCCCCTCTGCTGAGCTGCTGCAAAGGGTGCTGAATAATCCCTCTGGACTCGCAGARCATCCTGCATAGGGCTGCGCTACATAAAGGCTCAAGTGCAGGGCAAGACCAACTACCGAAATACCCTATTTTTCCTGTGGCAGTGGGCAGAGGCGTCCTGACCCTCTTCTTGAATCAAGGGAGGATTTCCTCCACCAGGGTTGCAACACAGCAACCGGGCCGAAGAGAATTTCCAGCAGCGTCTGGCTCTGACTCGGTCTTGCTGACTATACATCAGATCGAGGGGCTCTAAACAGATTAAGAAAGGATCCTGCCTATGCTTTCACCTCTGGGAGTAACCTCAGGAGGGAGCTGAGCCCTCAGCCGGACAACAGGAGGCGCTGAGGTTTTGCACAACCCCCGGCTCCCCTCCCTTCCCGGGCAGCGGGTATCTCAGCCGGGGCGGCCCGGAGGCGGCCGGTCCGAAGAGCGGCTTTGCCGGCTCCACGTTTGCTCCGCCCGGCGAAACGCCTCCGTGATTTGCRGCAGCATCCGATGAGCGTGGCCGGCCGGCTTTGTGCCTGCCCTCTTTTCCAGGTACGGAGTGACCCAGCATGGGCTGCCCGGCGWCCCGCCGGGTGTTGCTCCCGTGGGGCTGGGCTCTGGAAAGCGAGGCAGCACCGCCCCGAGGTCACCCAGCGGGGGGGTGCCGACAGCGGGGTCGCTGGGGCAGCTGCACTCCTGCCAACATCCCCGCATGCGGCTGCGCTGCTACGGGGGATCAGTACACCACAGACYTCAAATGCTGAAATGAACAGGCCACCACTGAAGGGTCTCTGTTTTCAGACATATAYACCGCTTCCATTAGGAAAAGAGGGAGGGTGCGTACGGGAAGAACGCAATTCTAATGTTTCTAAGATATTCCAGTCCCAATTTCCATGGGTGTAGTTTGACCATTTGAGAAAGCAAGGGTTTAATCCAGTGCTTTTATGTATTTTATTTCTTCCAAGACATACTTTCATATGTTGTTCTCTTCTGCTGATTCCAGAGTTTTGTTTGTTTCGAACATGTAACTTAATTCTG